CAGGTCCGCGAAGCGAAGCTTACGGATAAGCACAAGGCCATGATTATCGATGTTGCGGATGAGATTATTGACCTTTGTTCCCGTGCAGTGGAGGAGAACAACCAACAGAAACGAAGTCGCATGGCGGCTGGAGAAACATTGACGAATGCTCAAAAGAGCAAAGCCGTGTTGGTGACTTATCGAAACGTGGGCAATATCAACGCGGAGACAGTTCTCTCGAGATACCGAGATTTACGTGTCCTGAACAATATTCTGGCCGATTTTAGTCCCGAAGAGCTCTACAATTGGGCCATCCCAATTGACAACATACGGCCAGTCTTGAATTGGTCTGGTCGTTGGGGCCCCCAGGAAGATTCCATGCTTCTTGTTGGCGCTCACCTCTACGGGTTTGGAAATTGGGAGGCAATGGCGAAAGATGAACGGTTAGGGCTAGAGGGCAAATTCTTTTTGGAAGAAGGGAAGAAGGGCGAGGACTCCTCTTCGCGACCGATCCCTAACGCCATTCATCTCGTCCGACGAGGTGATTTCCTCCTGGGGCTTCTCCGTGAATATGACGAGAAATTCCGCTCTTATGAGAGTTCGTTGCGGAATAAAGGGGTCAAAGTCTCTGCGACGCCTCCTCCCACAGTGCTGGCCTCGTCCTCTATCAGCAGCAAAAAGAGACGAGCGGAAAGCGAGGCTATTGCTTCTGTTGACGACAGCACAACGACCACCACAAAGAGGCGCAAACGGAGGCCTACACCTACATTTACCGATTCTGAGTCGTCGGACGAATGGTAAGTGCAGTCTACTCAATCAGACAATGTATTGAGAGGTTATCCCCAGCCCATCTATGGATGAAGTCGCCACTAAGGAGGAATTGCGACCGGTAAAGAAACAATTAGTACGCAATCAATTGATGGTCGGAGGATGGATGTTCCTGACACTCTCATAGAAGCAGCTCAAGTTGTCCGGAGAAGATATGCCGCGAGACGACAAGGTCGCGATACTGAAGGACTCCCTAGCTGCAATTGGGCGACGGATTGATGCGGTTCTACAAGCCAAACAGGCTGCCGGAGAAGATTCCGAGAGGTGGAAGCGACACTTATGGAGGTGAGTTCAGGATAATGTTTTCTTATCGATGTACCCTGAAACACTGTCTCAGTTTCGTCACCCTTTTCTGGCCGAAGAAAGTCAAAGCATCCAAGTTGGAGGAAATCCACGCCAAAATGGTCATGAAAGAAGCTGCACCCCGACCCTCATCTGATGCCACGAATGCGAGCAAGAAACCTCGTCCGACTACCAGTGGCAAGACATTGTCGCCTTCAAACGTGGCTATGAAGACCAATGGCAAGTCGCATCGATAGGACAGACTTCATTTGCACATTGCACAGTGACCTTGCTCTCTTCCTCTACCTGACACCTTGAAACTTGGAGCTCTGCGTTCTTTATGTTGTTTGTATTACGTCGAACCCCATTAATTCGTAGCCACCCTAATTCGCATTTCGTTCTCTGCTGTACTCATAGTTGCTAATATCAACGTCGGCACGGATCACACCATTTATATGTCTGTTTCCTCGGATCGTATCATTGTACTCTGCCCAGAGCGAGTGTCCTTGCTTCATGAGATGGTTTAGCACTTAAACATTACAAAATGATCTATTTACGCCGATTAAGATTCCCAGACAGCCCGAGATGAAAAGAGGTACGGGACTCACCTGCCGCATAATGTTATCTTGGTTGTACACGCATAGCAGATTTCAGGTTTCCAGAAGAACTTTGGCTGGGATGTCTGGGTCGGGTCACATTGACTACGCCGGTAGAATCGCGCTCGACGACGACTTCCCGGGAAGAATGCCGCGCGTGATTGGTGTGTCGCTCAGACTGACGTCTCTCAGCATTCTGAACGACTGATGGAATGGCATCATTCTGTTGTTGGCGAGCTACTTTGATTGCATTGACTAACCGCGCGACCCGGACATGAGCCAAGGAGGTCCAAGACAAGGTATGAGCCTACCTTCCAGCAGCCGTGCATCTGCTTCTCTGGTGAAACTCTTTGTCAAGGCAGTGTACCTCTTTACCTGCCAACTCATCTGCGCTGCCCGAGCTGTGTTTCCCTGCGATAATGCCCACTTCTTCTCTTCTTTGAAGCGCCGGCGCTCGCTGTCCGCCAGGGATGCTCGTGCACGCAACGTAGCGACCTCACGCTCCAGAGGGTCCATGATGCGATCAGGATCAACAGTATCAGAGTTAGAAGAGGTGATGGATGTAATGGATGACGCCGTGCGCCACTTTCGCTCGGGATCTCGTTTGCGGGGGCGTGAAGGTTTGCTTGGAGAAACAGAGGAATATTCGGTAGAAGGCCGAAATTTAACCAAACGCTTGCGTTTGATGACGGTACGAGATTCCTCGTACCCGCTGCTTCCGTCCTCCCCAAAGTCAAAGATGTACCCATCTTCTATCAGCTGGGATAACACGTCCGTGGCCAGCACACCTAAGGCGACACCCAGCAGTGTCGTTGCACACTTGCCAAGGTCTTGGACCACCATGACCTCAAAAGCCAGACGGCCCGCGATCGCGAACGCGACTACCAATGCGAAGTCGGGGAATTCCATTAGGGCATAGTAGAGGCCTACACCTTGGACGACACCCAGGAGGATGACGTCTGCAAGAGATTGAGGTGAGCTGGGATCGTCTGGAACAGTCCCGGAGATTTTATCCAAGGCAATGCGGGTGCCCAGGCCAATGAGTAGGGCAGCCGCTGTCGAAAACATGGAGTCAAGTTAAGGACAACTTGTGTTCATCCTACAACAATGGACGCACTCGGTCCATGCTTCGGAGTGAGAACGAGTACAAACTGGGGACCAAACACTGATTACCGCCTCTTCCGAAGAGTAATTAATAGAGTACATACATACATGAAATTGAAACGTGGTAACATATAGTGGGACGAATGCGAAGAGATGGAAAACTAAGACAATGCCATGACTAGTATGCATCTTCATTGTCTACATAGCTTGCCATCGGGTCGTCTCCCTTGAGCCGGGTCATCCGATACGCCTCTGCAGACGAACAAGTGAGTCAATCGTGCCTATTAGAAACTTGCCATGAAACTCACCGAGCTCCTCCTCCGTCACATCATGAGTGCCAATCTCTCCCCTCTTCCGCTTTTTGGAGCGATTCTCATCACCTCCCCACGCTGTCCTCTTTTTTTCCTCAGCCAAGGCCTGGGCTAATCGCTCTTTGTCCAGAGTAACATCACCCTCCCCGACTCGTTTCTTCGAGTAATTCTGTTCTGTTGGTGCATTTGATGCCTCCGTCTGCTCGTCGGGCTTTGAAGAGTTGCCCAGCTGCAATGATGATGATGCGAGCAAGGCTTGTGCGGTCGATGCTTGAGCAGCCAGCTTGCCAGCCTCGCCTGAACAGTAAGACACATGGGTGCTCGAATGACAGCATGCGTAACCCCAACTCCCGCTTGCAACGTCGTACCACGATCCCCAAACCGCTGTGTGATTATTGATGTAGACTACACGAAACATGTTTAAGACATCGGGAAGAAAGCTGCAGGCTGTGGTGCTCACCATCTTCGGCATATTTGGAGCGAGCTTTCACCCGCTCTTTCCCTTTGATGACTTGACCCGTCCGAGAATACTCGACATAATATTCAGATTGACTGTCCAAGACTTCTCTTGGCGCGCGTTCCAAATATTGCTCCCCACCGTATTTTGCGAGTACGCTGACTTTATTGATATCCCTCATCTTTTCCTTCTTCTCTTCAAACTCTTCATGCAGCAGTTGACCTTGTGTAGGAGCAGCATTGAGATGAACATCATTCCCTCTCTGAGCAGCTTGCCATGCGAAGAGCTGAAGCTGCTGGACTTGAGGCGCCTCTCCAGAATACCGAAAGAAATTCTCTCCGGCAAATTTCGCCTAAGGGCAATAAAGCTTAGAGCACCTTGAGCAAAATAGTATGCACATACCTCTTCCGGTGGGACATTTTTCAGAGGAGCATCGCGCATAGAACGCGTTTTTGGATCGTAATAGGCACTCTCAGGATCGAGGTTGATTAGATACTTGGCGGTATCTTCCCGTATGCGCAGATTGCGAACAGTGATCCGCGTTTTTGTGTCCAGTTTCTGTCCAACTGCATCGGCAGCATCGGCGTACTTGTCCTCGTCTGCGTCTTCTTCATCACTGGAACCAAAATCAGGGTCCACATCCTTTTTCTCCTTTCCCGCCTTCGCAACCTTTCTTGCAGTGGCAAGGTCGGTCGCCGTTTGCTTGTCGATCTCCTCTTCTCTGAACTTTTTCCGTGCTTCTTCGAGAGCTTCGAACTCCTCATAGATCCTCGCATGTTCTGCGGGGTCATACCCGTTCCATCTATCTCTTTTCGCGTCGTATCCAGTGTGTACTTCTTGAATTACCTCGTCTGCCTGAATGTCCTTGTTCGTGAACTTGGCACCTTTCTTCCGTGGACGCTCGAGACAATCCTGTTTCTTGTGCGTCATTGCGCCGCAATTCTCGCAGGCTCCCTTTCTGTACTTCTTAGCAGCAGGGCCTGCCCGCGCACCACGGTCATACCAGTTATCGATCTCGTTGGGCGGTTTGGTAGTGGCCGGCCGACGTTGGTGACTAAGGGAAGGAGCCCCCGTGTCCAGATACCATGGCGCTTGCGAGATATACTCTGAAAAGAGATAGGTTGAGAATGGCTTTTGACAAAGAAAGCAGCTACCCACGGGGGATGTGGGGATTGATGGGTTTGCCTTCCTCGTCGAGGGCTGCAGGAGCTGTACCGGCCTTTCGTGCAGCCTCCAAATCCTTCTGGCGGCGAAACTCCTCCCGCGAGAGTTTTCCTATAGCTGGTACGGTTTCAGTGAAACGCGAGTCAACCGTACGCTGCTTGCACTCACCAGATGCCGACGCCATGACAGTCGAGTAAGAAGAGAAGTTATGAGTGTGACACAAAGTGATTAATCAGACATGCCGTTTATGGTAATAGCCACCAAAAAAAAGAGCCAAAATCCGACCTGCCTGGTTCGAACAGGCGACCTCAAGATGCCAAGGCTTATCCATTACAGTCTCGCGCTCTTCCAACTGAGCTAAGGTCGGTCGACGAACGCAGGAGCTCCTTAATACATGGCGAGGCTTATGAGGCAGCGGCGTACCAGTGGCCATCGTGATCGTCGCAGGTAGTACCTGTAGAGGAGTTTGTGGCTGCAACCGGGCCTCGGGCCTTCATGACCTTGCGTATTGTTTGATGCAGAGGTTTCCTGACACGGTGATCGAATGAGGCTGTCTTGCCCAAAGAAACGGCCCTGGAACCATCTGGTCTCGGAAACCCAGCCTACGACGTATCCGAGGACTGTTTTGAAACCTGTTTCCAAACGCAGCTACGCCTGCAGGCCTCGAAGGCTTCCTCCATTCAACTGGTCGCGCAGAATGAGGATAGCCAGGGTGAAATTCCAAGCATCTACTGTAAGTAATAGGGTACGCATATGAATTTACTGATGCAACGTATCCGCTACGATTGATATCCACGGACGTCATGCGTCTTTAAACCTTTCCAAATGGGCGTGATCGCTTGCGCGACCGTATTGGCTGCAACTTCCAAAAAGCCACGTTCCGCATCGTCTCTGATTGCGAGCCAGACATTGCGTGCTCGCCATCGGTCGGGATGGAATCGCCTGTGACTCTTCTCGACGAACGCCTTGTAATCCTGCAATCGCATTTGCGATTTCGCGGCATCGAAGAATGCCTCCACCGCAGACCAGTCGACGTCCTCCACTGTTAGGCGCGAAGGGGCGTGTAGAACTGGCCAGGGTACATCATAAAATGTAATCGATTCATCGGGGGAAAACTTCCAAGCGTCAAATTCCTCACTCAACATCCTATATCTCTCCAAGGCTCTGATGGGTGTCCATGGGCCAGAATCCCAGCGCTCTCTTTGTCTTCGTTTTCTGTTTTCTTGATGCCGTAGTTCGTCTCGTGCACGGCGCTCGGCTTCTGCGGCCGCTTGTTTCCTCTCCTCCTGTTCCCGTAGCTTCCGTTGCTCCTCCGCTCGTCTGTGTTGCTCGAATTTGGCGCGCTGTTCCTCTTCTTCTGCAAGTTCGCGAGCTTCTCGCAGCCGCCTTTGTTCTTCCCACAGTGGACGATCCTTTTCAAGTTCGCGCAATTTGCGAATAGACTCGGCGATTTCTGCCTGTCGAGCAGCCTCTGGATCGTCCCTGTCGTCGACAGGGCGATCACTTGTTTGTTCATAATCTGATCCCTCGCTGCTCTCTGAATCATCGTCGTCGACTGGGATAAATCCATCAGCCCCACTCAAAAAATAAAGTTTATGGCGAATTCCTCACCACTCGGCTTAAATTCGAAGCGCAAATCATCCTCAAAGGGTAGACGGTGGTCAGGCCGACGTCTCTGGCGGAGTTTAATAATTTTTTGGAGTCTTTTCTTCTCTCGCATGATACGCTTGTGATTCGTCGTTTGACAGGTCCTTTCTTTTGACATAACCCGCATGCGTTTATTCGACCCGGCATTTCTATCAAAGCGGACCTCTGATCCGGCCACATCGTCGGTGTTGGGAGGTGCATTGGAGTCTCCTGAACACTGGGTCAGGATAAGGGTAATGAAGAGTCATGTCGCAAAACGCGCCTTTCCGCTTTACATTGTATGCTGCAGGCGGGGAAATACTGGAATCATCGCTATCACTCCGCATGGAGAAGCTGGTTTCCGTTGGTACCGGTGGGGCCCGATTATATTTTTCTTGCACCACTCTGTTTATTCGCCAACGCCATTGACGTTCAGCAGTACATCTCCTCTCGGCTGACCCGACCAGGTTTGCGGTTGGACGCAAATCTAGGTATCCTAGGACAGTCGTCGTCTACCAGCATGCTCTCTATTTCATCTCTTTCGGTATTCTCAGTCCCGTCGGAGTCATCGGAGGTGCTCAATTGGGTGTAATTATGGCGCACTTTCTTTTGTGGGGCCGGTTCTGGGGAAGTCCTGCAACTGCGCTTTACACCAGAGGCTTCAAGTCTTGGCGTGATTGGATTCCCTGGACTAACCCTAGTGATGGATGATAACTTGCTTCCACCGAAGACCGTGCACCTATAAGCCGGGTCGAGCTTGTAGATTTCCCATTGTTCTTGGTAGCAGTACACTTGTTCACTGCCAAAGGACGTGTTACGCCAGCACGGAAAATCCCGTCAAAAATGAATCGAAAACACCTCGAAGCACAGCTTTGCTCACCCACATATATTAATGAGACGCGGCCAGAATCCTTCGTCTGGCGCACCTTCCTCTAAGCGCGCGCGTGGCACAAAACGCCAGAAGGATACCCCTTTTTGTGTGGACTCAATCACGACGCGTTTGGGTGGCGGAAGTGTATCCGTGATATTAAGCCTGTGTATATCAGGCTCTTGTTCGTCGGCGAATGCGGTTTTGGGGTCGAAGGACGCGAAGTGAAGCTTTGCATCTACGAAACGGAGCAGGCGAGAGGGTTGTGAAGGATCCAAAAGACCAGGCTGAGTCCCACGAATGGTACGCGGAGCGTCCGTCGCCACCGCTGGCGTGGACGACTGCCTAACCGCTGCCATTTGTTGTCGTGGACGTCCTCCGTTCACTGCTCAAGTCTGTGAGTGTGGCGTCGTGTCCATACTCTGATTGCCTTTTGTGGGGGAATCCTTTTTGGGTCGGATCAATTCTACTGTGATTACGTACTTGGCTACTAGCCGCCCAAGCTGAAGTACAGATTCGTCGCTCTGACTCGGTATCTGACTCATTGACACGAAATAGGTTCTTTGGAAAAACTCACAGTGTCACACGGGCTCGGATAACTTCTATCTCTATCATGACTGCCCTTCGTGACTTCCAAGCAGAGATCGAACAAGCGCAATCTCGCGCACTCGCCAAACAGCCGGTGCGAGGCTCTAGTAAGGATACTAATGCTGATCGTCTCTCAGCTGATCCGGTAACCGCACCTGCTGACGGAAGTCTGCCGAGCCAAGCAACCGACCCCGCAGCTCCTTTCATTGAAGAGGATGACGTCTTGGTGCGTCCGTCACTGCTACCCAGGTATCGCCGATGTATGTAATCATCACCGCAGAACTTCTTACTTAATGGCGATTATGAGTCTGCGAGAAATTCGCTGGCATCACTCCTAACGCGGTGGAGAGGGGAGTGCATCTTCCGAATAGGCGCTCGACCACCCGCTAGCACCCTGTTTTCTGGGGAGCCCGTTGACAACGCTTCGGGATGGACAGGCACCTCTCTGGGGGAGGATCATATTGGGAAAGCTATCTTGGTCGTCGAGAAAGTAGTGGCGGATATTGGCGCTATGGTGAGAGCTGCCTTTGACCCTAACAAAGCACATATACTACCCATCTCTGTAGGTGTCCGTTTTGTTCCGTGCCGGTGGCTCACATCCTCGAGCCGTTCTCCTGCTTCGCCTCCCTCCTGTCGACGTCGCTTCTACCCCGAAGTGCGATGTGCAGTAGTGGGCAACGTCGACTCGGGCAAGTCAACAACTCTCGGAGTTTTGACCCGAGGTAAGTGGTTCCAACGTCCCCTTCTTGTCCCTAATGTTTACCAGGTACTCTCGACGATGGGAGAGGACGAGCCCGTATTGCACTCTTCCGACACAAGCACGAGCTAGAGACGGGCAGAACATCTAGTGTCGGCATGGAAGTAAGTTTCTTCCCAGTGATATACTACCCCTCATTGCCTTTTCCTCAGATACTGGGGTTTACTGCATCGGGCGTTCCGGTCCTGCCTGGACGGGCTGACGGGCAAGATCCAGACACAGCTCGACTAGATAAGCTCGGATGGCAGGAGATCGCTGCTCGATCCGCCAAGATTATTTCTTTTAGTGGTATGCTTTTTATGCTCTTTAGACCAGCTAGCTGGAGCTATCACCTTTCTAGATTTGGCAGGACATGAGAGGTATCTGAAGACAACATTGTACGGTCTTACCTCAGGTGCACCATCTTGTGTGATTTTGATGGTGGGAGGGAACGCCGGCCTCATTGGGATGTCCAAAGAACATCTGGCCATCACCCTCGCCTTGAATGTACCTGTTATCGTTTGTATCACCAAGGTTCTCACATCTATCAAGTCACAAGTTCGTGCTTGACATCTTCTAGATTGACATGACACCTCCCAACGTACTGTCCGAAACGTTGAAACAAGTAACGAAAATTCTGAAGAGCCCTGGGTGCAGGTGAGGCGTTTTTCTGAGGCAATCGGTCCCCTGACATGCAGTGCTAGAAAAATGCCGGTGTTCGTGAAGTCGACAGAGATCGTGACAGAACTCGTCGGAGTATTTGCTCAGAACAAGTCAGCTCTCTGATTCTTTACTACCCCCTTTGCTCATCTATCACCAAGCTAGACTTTGCCCCATTTTCAGGTTGTCCAATGTCACTGGCGAAGGGTTGGATTATGTCTGTTGATAGGCTATATATCTGGTGACTTCCGACTAACCGCTCTGCAGCTTAGGACATTCCTAAACTTACTCCAACCAAGTGAATATGACTGTCAAACTTTTGCAGTTGACCATCCATTGGAGGTAAATATGTTTTTCCGGCTGTATCCGCCCATTCTGAGTTCGCTTCAGTACTCCATCACTGAAGTGTGGTCGGTACCTTATGTCGGGACGGTTGTCAATGGCATCTTGAATAGTGGCAGAGTAAAGACTGGAGACGCGATCTTATTTGGACCAGATGCAAATGGGCATTTTCAGTCCACAGTTATCCGTAGCATGCAGCGCAAACGGTAAGTTACCCCTTCCAAGTCGAGGGAAAATGAACCTACTCGTATACAGTGCAGATGTCTTCTCGGCCGAAGCGGGACAGTGTGTCTCGCTGGCACTGAAACGAGTTAAGCGTGTCTCTGTAAGGAAAGGAATGGTAATCGTGCATAAGTCAGATGGCCCCCCGGGAGGTGAGATCATGCCCAAAACTATTTATTTTGTCCCACTGATGCAGATGTACCAAAGCAACTCGTAGATTTGAGGGACAAGTTCTTATCTTGTAGTATGTATGATGTTCTGCTGATTACTCGAAAGCTGATGTTCCCACAGTCATAACACCACTATGCAACCAAACTATCAGGTG